CCGTATATATACATGAGCAAGAAAGAAACCCTAAACACCTACAACTCCTACTATAGCTAGAAGATTCCTATATAAATTAACTACCTAATATACGCACAATATAATCTTACATATCTACACAATATCGTATCTAAACTATATCTCAATACTCCCCCTCAAGTTGGCGCATGAAGATTGTGAATGCCCGACTTGTGAAGAAATTGATCGAATTGAGATTTACCGAGTCCTTTGGTCAGAATATCGGCCTGTTGTTCATGCGTGCGCACATGTGACATAGCAATATTTCCATTCCGTACCTCATTGCGAACAGAATGACAATCGATCTCAGTATGCTTCGTTCTTTCGTGGAAAACCGGATTGGCAGCAATATGCACCGCGGCTTGACTATCACAATACAAGTGCATTGGATTGGCATGAGAAATGCCAAGAAACTTCAAAATTTCCTTCAACCATTTCAATTCGCAGCAGGTTGTGGCCATTGAACGATACTCGGCCTCAGCCGATGATCGGGAGACAGTATGTTGCTTCTTCGTCTTCCAGGCGACAGGTGAACCACCCAACATCACAAAGAAACCCGTCAATGAGCAACACGTCAATGGACAACTACCCCAGTCCGAATCACAGTACCCATACAAATGCAAATCGCTATCAGAACGCAGCAACACACCTTGTCCAGGACGCCCCTTCAAATAGCGTACGACACGCAAGGCAGCCTCCCAATGATCTTCTCTCGGATTCTGCATAAATTGGGCCAAAGTATGCACACAATAACTAAGTTCTGGCCTGGTTATCGTCAAATAAATCAGCCTACCGATTAATCGCCTATACTTCTCTGGAGCAGTCATAAGAGATTGTTCCGATAAGGCGAGACGATGATTTTGCTCGATCGGAATAGAAGCTGGTTTGGCTCCTAACAGCCCGTTTCAGCGACAATGTCCAGCGCATACTTGCGTTGACAAAAATTTTTTTCCTCTGAGCTACGGCTTACTTCAATCCCGAGGAAATATTTAAGTACACTGAGATCTTTCATATGGAAACAACTTCCAAGGTACTTCTTGAGATGATTCACGGCCATAAAATTATTCCCAGCAATGACTAGATCATCAACGTATACGAGCACACTCAAGCGAATAGCATTGTTATAATATGTGAAAAGCGAGTAATCCGAATACGATTGAATAAAACCGTATTTTTTCAAAGCTGCTGCCAATTTTGTAAACCAACACCGCGGAGCTTGTCTCAACCCATAGAGTGATTTCTTTAGTTTGCACACCTTTGTTTGATCAGCAGAAGAGAACCCTGGAAGTAATTTCATATACACCTCCTGACTTAAATCACCATACAAAAATGCATTATGTATGTCCATTTGGTGAAGTTCCCAATTTTTCACTGCAGCTAAGGCCAAAAAAATCCTCAAAGATACCATTTTCGCCACTGACGCAAATGTTTCGTTGTAGTCAATTCCTTCTCGTTGGTTGTTCCCGAGTATAACCAAACGAGCCTTGTACCTCTCAATGCTCCCATCAGACTTGCACTTAATTTTATACACCCACTTCGACCCTATAACCTTCTACCGTAAGGTAGAGTCTCCAACGTCCAAGTGCCATTATTTTCCAAAGCTTGTATTTCTGCCCTCACAGCTTCCCTCCATTTTTTGTCTTTCATTGCTTCAGAGAACCGAATGGGCTCGAAGTCTACATCAATCTTAGCCAAGAAAGCTGGATGCCTAACAGAAAATTTATCACATGTCACATAATTAACTATGGGATAAAGAGTAGTACCTGAGGGTCCTTTTGGAGAGTCGAGTGTCCTGCATACAGGGTCATAAGAGCATCGAGCACTATATGTGATAAAATACTTCAACAAAATAGAAGGTTTGGGATCTCTACAGCCTCTTCCCAAATGCTCAATTGCGGGCTCAACCGCCACTTCTCTACCCATATTGGACTCTCCACCATCTCCTATTTCCCCAGCTCCATGGTGCACTACTGTATCCTGAACTTCAGCCGTGTTACTCCCCCTCGCGTTGTGTGCATCACTACCCAGTTCATTCAAGTCATAGTCAACAAAGACATCGTCGAACTGCCCTAACATGTTATCAGATTCGAGTGAGACGAACGATGCAAAGGGAAACACATGTTCTGTAAACACCACATCACGAGAGATAAAAAATACTCCAGATTCTATGTCGTACCCTCTCCATCCTTTCTTGCCGTGAGGATAGCCCAAAAAAACGCATTTTCTACTTCTTTCCCCAAATTTATCTTTACCTCTATCAACCCGATGGGTATAGAAAAGACAACCAAATGTTCGCAAGAGCTCGTATTGTGGTGGTTTTCCGAACAACAACTCATATGGAGTTTTGCCGCCAAGTAATGAGGAGGGGGTTCTGTTTATTAGAGAACTTGCAGTCATGATACACTCACCCCAAAATCGAATAGGCAAATTTGCCTGAAAACGCAATGCTCGAGCAACATTTAGAATATGTCTTTGTTTGCGTTCCACACGACCATTTTGCTGGGGTGTCCCGACACACGACGTTTGGTGGATAATTCCATATGTTTCAAAGTACGATTTCAAGCACAAGAATTCGGTTCCATTATCACTGCGAACAGTTGAAACTTTCTTCTTAAATTGACGCTCAACCATAGCATAAAAATTTTTAATTGTTTGTTCAACTTCTTTCTTTTCAATTAAAAGATAAACCCACACAGCTCGCGAAAAATCATCAACAATCGTCAAAAAATATACTGACCGACAAGTTGCGGGCGTCCTATAAGCACCCCATAAATCAACGTGAATCAAAGAAAAACAATCAATGGCTTTATTATCACTTGCAGGAAAAAAACATCTCGGGTTTGTTTTGCTCAAAACAAATATCGCAATGATCTTGATTGTTGCTACTATTAATACTACTTTCAACGTCTAGAAGAAAGGAAAATATCTGCTTGGACGGATGCCCCAGTCGTCGGTGCCACAATTCCTGCTCATCTAATCCACTAGCTTTACAGGCTCGTGCCGGTGTGATTGCTCTAAAAAGATAGACCCCGTTGCACTGCTCACCCGCTCCAATCAAGATCCTCGAGGTGCGGTTCTGTATCACGCATAATTCATCAGTAAATGTGACAATGCAATTCCATTCTTTGGTCAATTTTGATACAAAAATAAGAGTGCAATTCATGGACGGAACAAATAGAACATGATGCAAATAAGTATCGGAAAACAATTCTATGTTTCCCGTCATGTGATGCGAGGCCCCCGAGTGTATGACCCATTCATCAAAGGTTTTCTTACCACAGAGTCGCTCCATGCCACCTTTATTTGCATTAATCATCTCAAGTAAAGTTGCCCATTGATCTTCGTTGAGTCCGGTGAATGCGCGATAATCTGACTCAGATTGAGTACCATGACTTTGTGCCTCGGTTTCAGAAGACATACGAGTTACATTCACTCTTGCACCGCCTCCTCTGCCGCGCCCAAATTGTCCTGCTTCTCTTCCTCGAATTGGGCCTCTGTCACTTATTCGAGCCCTATATCCTCAACACTCCGGATACCCAACAATTTGGTAGCATGTCTTGGCATCGTGCCCATGTTTTCCACAATGTCCACATAACCCTTGTTTCTCTTTTCCGCAAACAACCATTATCTTTGTGTTTGACCCCAGTTGAGCAGCGAAACCCACTACATCTCTACGTTCGTCGCCTTTGCGGGCAATACTCCGATGTCATTCCTCTTTAATGATCATGGCGTATGCTCTATTAATATTAGGCAATGGTTCCATGCTTAAAATATTAGAGCGACCCGTTCTGTACACCACATCGTCAAGGCCCATCAAAATTTGTTGCACCTTCTCCCCATCTCGCTTCTTCTCAAGTATTTCAGAGATATCGCATTTACAACCGCTACACTTACACGAAGGTATCGGTTCGTAATTCACCAATTCGTCTCACATCATCTTCAGCCATCCGTAGTATGCCACCACTGCTTGCCCTTGGTGTTTACATGCAGCAAGATCAGCCTTCAGTTGATGAACTCGAGGTCCATTCCCGATTGAAAAACGTTGGTGGAGATCATCCCACAGGTCTTTCATGTTTTCCATGTAAGTGATGGTGGACCTAGAGTTCATCAACTAACATCGAGTTCACCATCCACCAATCTTCCATTTCCGAGGAATCGTCCGCTGGTTTCTTCAACGTCCCATCGATAAATCTGAGCTTTTTCTTCGCTCGAAGTGAGTTGCGCATCGACCTCGCCCATTCCTCATAGTTCTCCCCTCTCAATTGAACAGGCGAGATTAACGATCCAGGATTATCGGAAGGGTGAAGGTAGTATGGCGAAACAGCCGTCTGTCCCTTGTCGGATCCCTCTCCAGCCGTCGTGGTCTTCTCGTCGCCGCCTGTCATCTCACCGTCGTCCAGCGTGTGTTTTTATTTATTTATTTTTTTTTTTTTATTTTTTTTTATCGTACGTTTGGCTCTGATGCCATGTAGAAAGTTGTTTGGAAGAGAAGACTGTTCTGCCTTATTCATTAAGTCACGACCCGTATATATACATGAGCAAGAAAGAAACCCTAAACACCTACAACTCCTACCATAGCTAGAAGATTCCTATATAAATTAACTACCTAATATATGTATAATATAATCTTACGTATCTACACAATATCGTATCTAAACTATACCTCAATATGGGCCCACTTATCAACATTTCACCAAACAATCAAACCAAACAACATATTGGGAGGTACTAATTGTCCCGTCAAGCCTAATAATGCCAACCAAAGAGGCCCTGAGCATGTTGATTGCACTAAGATGTCTCAAGTTCTATCCCCAGATTTTATAGTTTTTTTTAAACATTAAAAGCTTATATATAGAGGGGGTATTTTGACTTCAAGTGATTATTACTATTTTAAACTAATTAAAAGAAATGAGTAAGAGTGACTACATACATCTCAGCAGCTAAGCTAGCATAAAAGAAAATGTGTAAAGAAGCCAGTCTCATCACACTATGCTTCTTCCATAGCACAAAGATGTGATATAAAGATTCTTGGTCCTGTTTTCCTGCAAGAAAACTCAAATATATGTACATGCATATGCAAGCAATGACATAAATAAAAGACATATATAAAAAAAAAAATGAACCTTGATAAGTTCACATGGAAAGGAAGGTGTCCGATGTGTCTCCTGTGTAGTATTGGAAGGCTTTTGTTTGGGAAAACTAAGAACAACGGCAACTTGATCCTGTGTCGCTGCAACTGAAGTGATAAAGTAGCCAGCATCCAATCTTTTATGAACACCTTCACTCGGATAAAGAAAGTCTAGCTCTACAACCTAAAAAGCCAACACAAATAAACAAATCATTACATTTTTTTTCTTAGCCGTAAAATTTGAAATAGCAACATACTTGATCCGAAAGTTCGATTCCACGAGACATAACAATCGCCCATTTGTTTCCTTGAGTGGCCATGGTAGTGTGACATAGAAGCCCTCGCCCCATTTCTTATTAATTCATGTTTCTGATACGTAGTAGTAGTCCCTGTAAAAAAAAGTTTATGTATATGGAAATCGAGTATAGCATCACAATTGTTTTCACGTACACCGAATTACAAAACTAACCCCTAGACATAACTACGAACGAGCCCCCATCGTCAGCCCCTGCCATTGCACTGATGTAATAGTTATTAGCGAACTGCTTCCTAATCCAATCCTAAACAATCATTACCATGAGATTAATTGATTGTGGTATTTCTCGTCAAAGACACCTTATACAAAATATGTAACGCCCCACAACCTAATAGCTGAATCCAATCAGATCACCACCATTAAGTTAGGGATGCTAACCTTTTATATATATACTTAAACATTATGGTTTTAATACAAAAATACGTTATATGCTTTGAAAAGAAATCAAACTTTTTACTTTCTAAAAAATGTACATATTGTTGGCGATCGTGCATGTATACGCAGCGGAATTTAAAACTTTTTAGATCGAACTAGTTTCGATTAGATGCATGAACTAATCACATAGTCAACGTACCTTAACGCTTCCGCCATACACATGGTAATTTTCGATTTTATTAAAACATGTAAAACCGAAAAATATAAAACATGCTTGTTCATCATATTGCAAAAATCGAAACACGTAATCACATATTACTCATGCTCGTAAATTAAAATTCACACAAACATGTTCGAATCAAATTTACGAAAGTTCCGATTTATTTACCTCTTGTAGCGTGAGATTTCGACGAATCGAAATCCGAACTCAAACCCGTACAAGCTGCGTTATACCAATCCTAGGGGCTGCAGGAAGACCACCAAACAGCAGCTGGTCCGACGGTGAGGCGACGGCGGCGCGTGTGAATCAGCGGCGGCGGCGCGTGGGCGATGCAACGGCGCGTGGGGCGGTGCAGCGGCGGTGCAACGATGTCTTCGGGGCTGCAGCTCCTCTCCAATCAGGTTTCACCTCGAATAAACCGATCTCCCCCTAGTGTAGCACTAGATACAAAGGGGTTAGATAACAAGGGAAATACGAGAGAAAAAGAAGAGAAAACCGGCGGTTTTTGGCGGCGAACGGCGCCGGTGCGGCGGGGCAGCGGCGACCGAGAGGCTTGGGCGGCTAGGGCTGGACGGCTAGGGTTGTGGGAGTAAAAACTCTTAACTCAAACTCTTGTTTGAGGTCTATTTATACTAGGGTTCACAACCCTTGTGGGCTTAAGTCATTGGGCTTGACCCACTGATGCATTAAGCCTATTCCCTCGTCGGCCTCGTTTCTAGCAAACGATCGTTCACAAAATTATAACAAAATTATATTTGTGACGATCTTAAAGTCCTCGTCGATACGAGTGCTTATTCGAAATTTCCAATTTCCAAAAGTGGAAACTTCCACTTCAGTGGACCTGTTAAATCGGGAAACTTCCCAATTTAGAAAGTTCACTAAATTTCGCATGTCTCTTTCTCTACGTTTATTCCGACTCGTAATCCACAATCACGAATCTTGGACTCAATCATATTGAACTCCAACTTTGCAAATATTAACATATTAACCTATGCTCATTGTTATCAAGGATCCGTATTACACGAGAAGTGTGACCCTCAATGGTTCAGGTGTATGCTAGCCGTGGGCTCACAACTCTTTGTGATTCGAACAACACATTGTTCTTATACGAACTCCTTCCAAGAGTCCCAATTAGAGTAAAACTCATTTTACTTAATCGCCGATCAAATCGGTGCCCAACGAATCAAGATTGGCGTCTAGCAACTACGCATCATGATTCCCTAGATACAAGTGAAGTGCCTGCAAGAACCTTATGATATAGTTAGCGTACAGTACGATCCCTTCGCAGCACATGTCCCGATTGAACTAGAGGCATTGGTTCACCGAGACCTCTTATAAAGTTCAATAACCGTGCGAACGTTCTAGGTATAATAAATCCGTTCGTCTGTGACTTAGGGAAACACATTTCCCTAATCACCCCACTATCAACTCTGGCCAGAGATTCCTTGGATTATAAACCGTTAGAACACACAGGACATCCATGACTACTCAAGCGCTCGAATCCCCTACTACAAAGCACAGACTTCACACTAGATTTCGGATTGCACGAACGTTGGCCCTTGGAGTGGTCCGCTGTGGGACTCAGGGACAGGTCACGATACAATCGGTCCTCTAGTGAAGTCACGGTGATGTCTGGGTCTTAAGGACTAATGGTGTACAACTATATCTTAGAAACCTATTACTCGATGAATGAGAACCACTTATAGATTTCTAGGGCGAGGGAGTTCAGTGAACTCATCTAGTATGAGCACCCACTCAAGTATGCCGATGTCACAACACCGAGGACTGATGAGACGCAATACACATACACTAAGTGCTAGTCTCAAAAGGGAAAGGCCGGTATCCTCATTATTGGCGTAACCCATCGACTAGGAACAAGGTTTAACAGTTACATTACATTGCTGAGTTATCTCATGATTCTACTAGATCAACTCACAGTAATAGAGTAACTCGTTAGGACTATATCTATGCTACTTGCATGGGATAAGAGATATAGAATGCCAAATTAAATATTTTATTATTACGAACGAAAAACGATTGTTTTATTACAAGAAAAAGAGAAAGACCACAGCCACAAGTTGGCTTGTTGGTCACCTACTCTAACACACACACACGTATATATATATATATATATATATATATATATATATATATATATATATATATATATATATATTCATGGTTTATAAAATTACATTGTACAAAAACCATAATAGAGCGGCTAACAAAATGAAATCAGAGTTTCTAGCTCGGCTACGAAAATGACGCGAAGCATGGCATGTGAACAAATCTCTGTCTGGCCGCTCTTGGCTAGGTCAACTTCTAAACATGTACATTATTACCTACATCATAAGAACCTAATCAACTAATGTCTCAGCAAGTTGAAACTCATATAATAAAAATATATCACATAACACATTATTCATCAATATGTACAATAACATATATAACTTCATTCATGGTCCTTTCCTTTGAAATCCTTCTCTTTTTTGAATACCCTTGAAGTGTGGTACTTGACTGATAGCAATAGGCTGTGTTTTTCGGAATCTGTTCATCATATTTGGCTAATAGATAATACGGGGTTTCCATACCGGCCTTTCGACCTCAAGTATTAGCCGTATTTCCTTTCTTTAATTGTGGGTTTTCCATACTGGTCTTTCGACCTCAGGTATTTTGCCACCATGTGTTGGGTCCGCCGGTTCCTCCCACATCCCTTGCCTACTCGACCATCAATCAAGTACCATACACCCATTTTCAAAACATATTCTTTCATATCACTATGAATCATCAATCATTCAAACATCATGCAGAACACGTAGCAAAAGTCACATTAAAGCACACATAATATGGTTCTTATGATGAGCAACTGAAAGCTTCAACTTACCTCAAGTTCAATATGGTGTATGAAGTGAAAAGATCAGTCTCATAGAGGGTGTGCTAGAAGCCTTGATTAGAGATGAATTCAAACTTCGAAACGTAGGATTTTCAGCTAGAAAAGGTGCATAACTTGTTCTAGCTATACTTTTCTATGAGTTCTTATGGTTTGATGTTCTCTTATATGAATATGAAAGTGAAGAAATAAGAAGAGAAGCTTAAGGAATTGGTCTGGTCGTTTTTGGAAGAAGACAAGTGAAAATGAAGACCAAAACACAAAGTCTTCACTTATCTCCCCATTCCCAACAAGGCCAAATGGAGAGTGATGATTGGAAGTCTTGTATTTGTTGGATTCTTGTGTAAACAATTTATAGCTTGAAATGAGATAGGGGGTTGATGCTTACTCATTATAATCAAGTGTAAACAATTTCAAAATGGTCTTGTGCAACCTAGTCACCCAACCAATCAAATTGCACCCTTTTGCATACTTTTGGTTTTAGTCTAATATGAGTTACTTCAAGTAATTATATATGTAATTAATCATATTAAAATGTAATTAAAATACAGAAATGCAATTAAGACAAATATATTTAGCACATTGATCCCTTCTTAACAGAGAAACTGAGCTTCTCACTACAATAAATCACTTAAGCTCATGTAAATCATAAAGTAGAAGTTCAATAACATGTATCATGTATTAGCACATTTTAAGAAAAGTATTCGATCACGTATTAAAACACAATTAAGGCACATGTGTAGCTAGTAATCGCGATCATGCATCATGAATAATGAATTCTAACTATATGCATTGATGCAATATTCTTATTATTGGCCATGTATGGATGATTGGGCGTTACAGAATAAACTACAAATCAGAAGAAAATAAAAATAAAAATGAGAACCTTGTCAGCGAAGCGATCTGAAATTTGGTAAACTTGATCACTAAAGCTTGTCCCTTTTATCCAAAATGAAGGCCCCCAAGTTCAAAGAAGATGATAACTGCTGATAAACAAACCATCCATCTTTCCTTGCTCAACATGCTGACGAACATTTGCATTTGAAATATCATACTCATACCTAGGAGAAAGAAAATAAATACATATTATTCATCTGAAAAGTTTGTAGAGCAAATTTGACAGTTAAAGCATATGATATCAACCTTTGCTCCATTTGGGTTAGGCACACAGTAATCCAATGTGTTTCCGGATTGCCTGACCGAACCCTTTTCACTTTAGATACAAACTTCGAGATGAAAAAATATGTTTCAAAAGAATAACACCAAAACACATACTTCAAGTCCAATATAAAATTTAAAACGCGTACAAGAGATTTTGAAGAATATATATATATATATATATATATATATATATATATATATATATATATAAACTTAGGGTACTTTTAATATATTAAGTTAAAAGGGGACTAATGTGAAAATAAGTAAAATATAACACCTTTACCTAAAAGTCAACACAAACCTTTTCACTTTCTTTTCCAATTTCTCATGGCAAGAGAAGCAACAGGAAAAAAAAAAAATCTTTTCTTTACCCACAAAAATCCCTCCCCACTGTACCGGTCGCCATCACCGAAAAAAAGTAACAATCGCTGCCAGCCCACCGAGCCGCATCAAATCCACTCAAATTAATGGCTAAACGACAACAGGTTAGCAACAATGGGTTCGACAATTTATGATTTAAGGATTAGAAAAAGGGGTTTTGATTAATTGGAGTTTTGTAGATATTTCATTTTTTTTAAATAGCAAAACTCAAATATCTAAGTGGAAAGTCGAGAAAAAGGCATGGAATGTTTTGTGGCCCTGCACTGCACTTAGTGGCGAATCCTGATTTTACGTCAAAGGTGTGCGAAATTTAATAAAATAAATATAAACATGCAAAAAAAAAATGTACAAGACAATAAAAATGTATATCTCTTACATACAAATATAAAGTTTTTAGAATATCTTTCGGCGTGGTCCCATTTCTTGAAAAAAAATCACCACCTCATCAATACTAACGCCGTTCAATATATCTTTTTCAATGTACAACACCAAAACATCATTCAACATTTGATCCCCCATTCGATTGCGTAGCTCCGACTTAGCAATCTTCATTGCAGAGAATATTCTTTCAACTGATGCGGTTGCAACCGGCAAAATTAATGACAACTTCAAGAATAAGTACACCAATGGATAAGTCACATTCTTTCTCTTGGCAACCAACTTCTCAGCAAGCCTGGTAGCTCCACTCATATTTGAAAAGTCTTGATCACTTTTAACATCCCTGATATAATTTTCAAGCTGGTTCTGAAGGGCTATAAGATCATTATCATCAAACTCTTCAGGATAAATTTCAGCGAATTTCACGAAAGCATTTTCTTTCAAATGCATAGAACGAATTACTAGGATCAAAACATGATATCAGACTAAGTAACTCCGTATTAGTATTGTCAAAACGATCATTCAATTCTGAAAGTTGAAGATCGATCACTGTATAAACCACATCAACCTTATAATGATTCAAGTTTGTAATTTGCGTACCTTTTCGCGATAATCTGCCATCTCTCGAGTAAAGTACAAAATCATCATTCATATTTGGAATGAGAATGTTATTTTGAACACAAAAGGATGAAGTTTCTCGCAACAATTCGTCCCACCCACCTTCTCTCAATTCTTGCAGTCGATCTTTAGCAAAAATAACAAGTTTCATGGCATTTGCAAGGTCCTGATCATTCCTTTGAAGTGCTTATGACAAATCATTTGTGATCCCTAAGATCGATCTCATTAAGTGCAAGACAAAAGCAAACTCGAAATACACAATATTCCTTAAAAGCATTGAGGCTTGTCCACAATGAGAAACATCATCACTATTATTTTCTAAGTACTCTAGTACACCAACCACCGAAGGAAACAATTTAATTATACTCGTGATTGTGAAATAATACGAAAACGTGTATCTCCGGGCCTTTATAAAGTGGACTCTTGATTCAAACCACTACCACTTACAAAATTATACAAAGAAACTCTTTCCATTAACTTCTCAAATTGTTTCTCCTGAAACAACTCTTGACGTTTACAAGAACCTCCAATAACGTTAGCCAACAATGCAAGAGAACCAAAAAATTCAAAAAGTTGCGTATTTTTCTTAGTAATTTTCACAAGAGATAACTGAAGCTGATGAGCAAAACAATGAACATAAAAAGCAGACTTGTTTTCTTTCAATATTAAACTCTTCAAACCATTAAACTCTCCTTCCATATTACTAGCTCCATCATAACCTTGGCCACGCACTCGCGACAAACTCAAGCCAAATGTTGTAAGAAGAGACTCAAGAGAAGCTTTCAGACGTCGTGAAGTTGTATTTGGAACATGAACAATGCCAAGAAAGCGTTCAATAATTTTTCCTTCCTTGTTTACACAACGTAAAGAAACCACCATTTGTTCTTTAATGGACACATCACGTACCTCGTCAACTAACAAAGCAAATAAATTATCTCCAATATCAGAAATGATAGTCTTCGAGACTAAATGAGCAAACGCACGAATGATTTGTTTTTGAATTTCTGGTGCTGTCACAATACAATTTCCTTGGGAGTTATCCAAAACAACTTTGTTATTTTCATCATTATCTTCCGCAATAACCTTTATAAGTTCCACAAAGTTACCTTTATTTAGCGAACTCTTTGACTCGTCATGCCATCGAAATGGAATTCCTTGCCTTAACAAATATCTAATGGCCTTCGTTGTTGTACGCAACCGAATGTAGTAGTCGCGTTTAGATTCCTTAGTTTTTCTCCCAATAGGAACATCTATGTGACCTTTATTATTCATCAAATCTTGATAAGCCATATAGCAATGATGATGAACACTGTCATGATTTCCCTTGTCTTTTCTCAAATTTTCCTTCTTGTGCCAGTTTCTATAACCTTCACTGACGAATTTACCACCGCCCCCTTTGGCACTTTCTCCAACTTTAAATAGATAGCAACATAAACAATATACCGCGTCTTTACTTTCACTATATTCCAACCAACTACCAAACTCATTGTACCAATCTACAATAAATTTCCGTTGTTGTCCATAGGAAGTAGTTTGAGGAAATTTACAGAGTCGGGGTTGACAAGGACCTTTCTGTAAGTAAGCTCTTCGAACAATTTCAAGCTCTTTATATGTCTTGGCAAGATCAATAATAGGCAATCTCAATTAACCTCTACTTGCGATTGATTGTGAATACCTTGAGCATGTTCTTCAGAGACGCTATCATTAATTGGCGTTTCTTCTTGGACGTTATCATTAGCCGACGTTCCAACATTGATATTATCATTTGAAGTAGATGATTCTCCTAGACGATGACGGTTAGTTTTTATCACAAATCGATCCATATTCTACAAATAAATAGAATGGGCAAGAGTTAAAGGTAAATTCGCACCAATCGATATAAGTCTCATATAACAAAATATATAAATCAAGAATTTTTAACAGTATTAACTTGTTAATCCCCAAATGTTATTAATTGATAATTGTTACTCTGACTCACATATAAAAAAATACTTGATTTAATTGAATCTAATTACTCACTTAGAATATGTATTACAACAAAAACCAAATATAATAAGATACTAACAGAGAAACAATTACATACATGGCCCACGTTTGTGGCAATCATATATTTCAACTCCCACTTGAATTTAAAGAAAATGTATTGCACAAAATTCATTAAAAATTGATTATTGTTCTTATCCAAAAATTGTAATTCATCCCTTCATTAAATAATGTTGTCTTTTTCTTCACAACTCTCTCTCATTATGTACACACTAACAAAATATCTATAATGGGTCTAGGGTGTGCACTAGCACACCCTTGGTTATAGAAAAAAAAATATTATATATATATATATATAAATAAATATATATATATATATATATATATATATATATATATATATATATATATATATATATATATATATATATATATATATATATATATATATATATATATATATATATACCTTCTGAGCACCTTCGATGTTGATTAGCCTGGTTTCTGGACTTGAAGTTACTAATACTTGCTAAAGGAATATATATGTGCATATTGAGACGGACA